TCATGAATAACTTTGTGAGTCGATTTATGCATGTCAGTCCGTCTGTCTGTCCATGTATTTCTGTGAACAAAATGCAGGACGCATATATTATCCGAGATGAGAATCTGTTCAAATTAAGATATAGCTCCCATATATATTATATATATTCTGGGTCAATTGTGCACCAAATGGCCAATATCAGTGCAAATGACCTTCATTTTTTCACATCCGACCAAATTCATTCCAGGAGCAAGTCCATCAAATTTAATGGAAATCGTTTCAGAGTTTATTATAGTTCCCAAATTGTGACTATTCTAAATCCATGATACGCATTCATCGAAGATTCATAGTTGGTATGATCTACTTCACATAAGTTCACAATATAATTTTTGTTGTTATGGGAGCTCTACTACATACGCATAGTGGTGTAGGTTATCATATAATCGGCCCCGCCCAACTTTTGACCTTTTCTAACTGATTTAAATTTCCAATTTACTCAGAAAGATATTGTTTGATAATAAGAAAGATATTTCTCCTTCACAGAGAATTGAAGAAAAAATTTAACATTTCATGAACTGGGAAATAATTGCATATTTTATGAAAATAATTTATTATTATATTTACGATACTGAATGTGATATACTGTAAAATTGGGATATGAAAAGCCATAATTATTCAAAATATATAAAACTAGCTGGCTCGTAGTTTTAGTCTTTAATGCATATTTTTCAAAGCCGAACTTTGAATACCCTCTTTGAATACCCTCCACAATTTGGAATGAATTTGGCAATTCTCAACATCAATAAAATCCGTTAAAAAATCTGTTAAAATCTTCAAAATACCGAATGTAGCTGTTATATTAGGACCTGCATAGGTAACATTTGTCATAAGACATTACAATCTTCAAATGCGAAACTTAAAAAAAATCGGTAATAATGTAGATAAAATCATCAAAATACCGAATATCGGGAGGTATCGTTATATAAGGGCTATACGAAGATGTAGAATCCATTGTAGCATCCATTACGAATATCAAATACCAAATTTGAAACAATTCCGGTGAAAAATGTCGCTAAAATCATCAAAATACCGAACATCGGGGGGTACCGTTATGTGGGGGCTCTACAAAGATGTGGACGCGCACAGACAATTTTCTGTCTAAAACTGTAGTATTCATTACGAATATCAAATACCAAATTTGAAACAATTCCGGTGAAAAATGTCGCTAAAATCATCAAAATACCGAATATCGGGAGGTACCGTTATATGGGGGCTATACGAAGACTTGGACCTGCACAGGTAATTTTCTGTAATAGGCTATAGTATCCATTACGAACATCAAATACCAAAATTGAAAGAACTCTGATGAATGTTGTCGATAAAATCATCAAAAAACCGAACATCGGGACAACGCTTCATTTCCAACGCACAATGGCTCCAAAATCTCCGGATACCAATCCGTTGGACAATTGTGTCCAAGATTGGCAAGATTGGCACTAAAAAATACCAATGTCTCCATCACCTCAAGCAAGCGCTTCGCTGGAAATAGGCTAAAATACCGCAGAGCAACATTCGAGCAGCGTGTTACCGTTTCATTTGCTATTTGAAGGCCATAATTCGTGTCAAAGGTAATCAATTCAAACAAATCTAAACTTTTTCTAAAATTTGATGCTATTTCCGTAATTTTTTGCTTTCATTCCATAAAATTTAAAAAAAAAATGTAAAAATTATGGCTTTTGACTTTGCTGCAGTTTTTTTTATCTCATGGGAGCTATTTTCTAATCTGACTGACTGATATGCATAAATCAACTCTAAAAGTGATTCCATAAATTTGCTCAAAAGTAACTATGGATCCATCTCGTTCTCTTCTCGATGTTACAAACAAATGTCCAGAGACACAATATGGGGTATAATTATCGAAAAAATATATTCGGAAATCAATATTTTCCAAATTATTTTGAATTCCCCTTTGTAATGCCCAGAAGTCCTTCAACTCGATTTTGGGGTTCATCTGCATTAATGAAATAATTTATTTATCCGTATGAAACGGTTTCATTCGCTACTGCTAATGGATGTTAATGTATAATATTTGTTAACGTATTAACGACCGAAAAACCCAACCTGCGAGGATAGCTATTTTCATGCATTTATAGCAGTAGTCTGTTGACGGCTGTCGAGTTAAGTGCGATTGGAAGGATGAAAAGTTGGTAATCCAAACATTTAGATTTTACCTTTTGTGTTGATTGGACAGAACAAGAGTCAAGTAATGGTTAAATCACCAATCCATATACTTCGTGGTGCTTTGAAGTCGACTGAGCGCAGGATCAAGTGAGGACAATACCATTAAACCCTGTACTTTTGGCCGCGTTGGCTCTCACTGTTGAGGGTTTTTGCGTTTGTTCCCATTCTTCGGGCGGCTGGAGGTGATCGATTGAGAGTTCTGGCAAATGCTTTCATTATTTTGCATTTGTTTCTATTCGTCGAGCTAATAGATTTGTTGAGAGTTCTAGCAAATTCTCTGTGTGTCCATGTTAATTTGTAATCAAGCTACAGATCGCAATTATGACCCGATCCCCCGAAATTGAAAATGGAGGTGGGGTTAGGGTCAGAAGAGAACCCTATTGTTTTGGAGATGATTGCAAAATATTTAAGGGCTGAAATAGACAAAAAAAAAAATTTCCTGATTTTGCAGATGCTCTATAGGCCACAATTATGAACCAATCGAAGCGAAAACTTACATGGAGCTAGAGTTTAGGACTGGACAGAAGCCTACCAATTTCGGGCAATATTAAGCGGATGAAATAGATCCTAATTTTATGTAAGAAAATATGAAAATTGTCACCAAACCGCGAATATTTTTAATCCCAGCCATATCACAAATAATTTAAAAGCTCACAATGGTCAGACCATTACAGTGATGCTGATATGTCAAGAACCGCTGGGCCGATTTTCACAAATCCCTTAATTTGAAATGGGCTCTTTTGCCAGAAGAAGAAAAAATCTGAAAAAAATCGCGGAAAAATATACCAATAAAGAAGTGAATATTTTTTGTTCCATTTTTTCTATTTTTGTCATATTGTTTATCGCATGCGATTTTTTTCACTTTGACTTACAATTTTGAATTTTAAATTTTATAAATTTTCACACCCCGCAACACTATGTTTTGTCGCAATTATCGTCCGATCCTCAGAAAATTTTGCCTGGGGGTAGGGTTAGGGTCTGTAGGGTTAGGGTCTTAAGATGTACATATAGGGGTTCAAATAGACTAAAAAATATTTTAAATTTTCCAATTTTGTAGTCGCTCTATAGGCCACAATTGAAAACCAATCGACACGGAATTTCGCGTCAGAAGAGAGTTAAGGACAGGGAAGAAGTCTAGCATTTTGGATGACCATTGGATTATATTTAACTGTAAATGGACCACAACTTTCGTGTGAAATTGTTTGAATACCTAACAACACGACGGAGTGCGTAAATATTGGCCAAATTCCCGGGGTCAAAAACCTAAGGGTAACATCTGGACAGGGCTCTTTGACATTATTTTAAAAGCGAAATCTTCCAAAATGGATTTGGACATAAGGGGACCTCGAACGTATTGTAGTGTTGTAGGTTATCACATGGTCGGTCCCGCACGGCTATAGCCTTTGCTTTCTTGACGACTATAGCCTACCCTCCATACTATGGCGGAGGGTTATTAAGTTTGTCATTACTTGTGTAACACCTCGAAATATACATTTTGGACCCCACAAAGTATATATATTCTTGATCAGCATAAAATTCTATGTCGTTTTGACAATATCCGTCCGTCAGTGGAAATCACTCTAACTTCCGAACGAAATGAAGTAAGCTGATAAAAATTTACTCAAATAATATGCCTGCAGGACTTTTGGTATTAAAAATGGGCCATGTAGGTCCCCTTCTTCGTATATCCGTCCGTCAGTGGAAATCACTCTAACTTCCGAACGAAATGAAGTAAGCTGATAAAAATTTACTCAAATAATATGCCTGCAGGACTTTTGGTATTAAAAATGGGCCATGTAGGTCCCCTACTTCGTATAGCTCCCATATAACGGTATCTCCCACCGATATTCGGTATTTTGATGATTTTAGCGACATTATTTACCGGAACTATTTTAAATTTAGTATTAGAAGTTCGTAATTAATACTACAGCCTATGACAGAAAATTGTCTTCGTATAGCCTCCATATAACGGTTCCCCCCGATATTCGATATTTTGATGATTTTATCGACATTTTTTACCGGAATTGTTTCAAAAATGGTATTTGAAGTTTATAATGGATACTATAGCCTATGCCAGAAAATTATCTGTGCAGGCTTATGAAAAATATGCGTATGCAGGTCCACGTCGTCGTATAGATAGAGGTATATACGGCTACATTCGGTATTTTTAAGATTTTAACAGAATTTTTAATGGATTTTAATTTTTTGCAAATTGCCAAGTTTGTATTCAAAGATCGGCCCGACCGAACTTACAGCTTTTTTACTTGTTCTTAATAAATTGTTCACTAGAAATAGTTTTTTTTTATAAAAGTTTTCATTTCACATTTGTTCCGATTTAACTAGTTTGGCAATTGTTTCGATATCGTAAATGGAAAATCAGTTATTTTAGTAAAAATTTTTTACAATTTCGCAATTCAGGAGGTTATCAATTTTCTTAGAATTAGAGTCATCAATTGTAATTTCTATACATGTAAGCAGCAGAAAATGCAGAAACTTATAACAAAAATTGTTAAGTCACGCAAACCATTAGAAATGTATTTTATTTTTTGAAAATGTTCGTAATTTTTTTATGCAATTTTGTTGAAATTATTTTATCGTTAGGTAATTTTCTATATAAACTATGCCGATAAATTAAGAAAATTAAACTGGCAATTATTAAGCGAAAACAAATGTTTGTTAATATGAAAAAAAAAACTAAAATTACTTGCACCTGGATAGATCCATATTAAAATTTTAAATAATATATTACCAAAATATTCGAATGTGTTTTAGTATTGCCTGAACTTTCTACAGATTAACAAAGATTTCTCCATAAAAAAAAATAAATAAAAAATGTCAACTAAATTCTTTGCATTTTATTTTGCATTTATAATGCTTGTTTTCTTTGTAACAAGGACAGAGGTATGTAAATAGAAACAATTTTGAAAATAAATATTTATTTCAAAATTATTTAAAAACGATTTTTAGGGCCTTTCAATTAGATTTCAGAACATAATTTGTCGCGCTGAAGATCCCAAGTTCATTCGTTTTGATACTTGTAAGATTACCGCAGTTTCCAGAAAATCCCAGTATATTACTGTCAAGGCTGGCCTACTGGAACGGCCGCTAACTAAATTCAGGGTAAGTTGATCCAATCTTTAGATGTTGAAAATGTTGATGAAAATCGGATAACCTTGTTCTATTGCAGCTGAGATTCTTTTTCATGCAACGTCTAAATGGCTGGAAACCTTTTCTGTACGACTGGAGTATTGGCTGTAATTTTACAAAAACGTTGAACAAGTTGACATCTTTGGTCTGGGATATTGTTAGAAATATTTCAAATTTCAATACTGATTGTCCGTATTACGTAAGTTACAAATATTTTGATGTAAATTTTGTATACCCTCAGCCATGTGGCTACAGAGGATACATATCATCTGAAACGGCCAAGACGTGCCTTATCGCCATGTCATTTTTACAGCCTGTGTCTATTTGGACCAAATCCATTCCACGACATTTGGAGTCGATCTAGGGGTGTCCGTCCGTCTGTCTGTCTAGCTGGTGCGCACGATAGCTCTCGAAGGGAACATTCGATATGACCCAAACTTGGTACATCGTAATGTTATTGTCAAACATAGATCGAGTTCGGAGATAGACAATATCGGTCCACTCCTTCTGGTACCTCCGTCCACAAAAGGTTTAAACACAGAACATAATTTTTCAAATAGAACAAGAAATGGAGAGCAAACTTTGCAAAGCTCAATGTTATTGCCAGTGCTAGGTCAGCTACCACTCCTTTAAGTACCACCCCCACAAATAGGCCAAAATTTTGAATAATTACAAGTCTTAAGAAATGTGAAATAAGAGTTCTATTGTCTCCAATTTGACACATCCCGATACTCTTATTAACTCTTTCTGGTAACTCCCGCACAAAGGGTCAAATTTTTGAATAATTACAACTCTTATAATTGTCTTTAAATTTCGCACATCTCAATATTTATCAACACCAGATTTAGTACGAAGATGGGATATATTGGTTCATTCTTTTCAAATTTCACACATCTCAATTCTTTTTCCAACACATGATGTGGTATCAATATTTCATAGAACGGAGTACTCCTTTTGGAACCTCCCCCACAACGCGTCAAAATTTTGAATAGCCATGGCGCTCATAGAAGGCGAAATGAGCATCCGATTCTTTTTAAACGTGGCACATCCTAATTTTTCCACCAACACAAGGTCCAGTAAGAGGATGGGTTACATCCGCCAACTAATTCTGGCACCTCTCCCACAAATGGTCAAACTTTTGAAAAATTATAACTTCTTAAAATAACAGCTCAATTGTCTTCAAGCTTCGCAATATTTTTACCAACACAAGATCTGGTATGGAATATATTGGACTACTTCTCCAAAATGTTAAAAATATTATATCTCTCAGAAAATGCGAAATATGCGCCGGATTCTCTTCAAATTTAAAATTCGGCACATCATAATATTTTTATTTTATTTATCTGGCATGAAGATGGGATATATCGGTCCATTCTTTCAGGTACCTCCCCCACAAAGGCAAAACATTTTGAATAACCGTCTCTCTCATAAAATTTGAAAAAAGAGTTACATGATTTTCAAATTTCACACATCTCGATTTTTTACCAACACATAATGTGGTATCAAGGTCGGTACTCCTCCTGGTACCTTCCAATAATGGGTCAAAATTGGGAATAGCCATGACGCTCATAGAAGACAAAATGAGCATCGGATTCTTTTCAAACGTGGAACATCCTAATATAAAGATGGGTTACATCAGCCAACTACTTCTGGTACCTCTCCCAAAAAGGGTCACAATTTTGAAAAACTATATCTCCTAAAAATGAGAGTCCGATTGTCTTCAATTTTCGCAATAATTTTACCAGCACAAGATCTGTTATCAAAATGAAATATATCGGACTCCTTCTTCTGGTACCTCCTCAAAACGGGTCAAAATTTTGAATAATTATATCTTTCAGAAAATGCGATTCTCTTCAAATTGTACACATCCCAAATTTTCCTGGTGTGAAGATGGGATATTTAAGTCCACTCATTATAGTACATCCACCACAACGGGTCAAAATTTTGAATGAAAATGCGATAAAAGTATCCAATTCTCTTTAAATTTTACATATCGCAATATTTCTTTTAACACAAGATCTGGTGTGAGGATGACAGATATCAACCCACACCTTCTGCTACCTTCCCCTCAAATGGACACAACTGTCAGTATTTAGATGTCTCATAACTTGCGAATCAAGCCAGCAATTCTTTTCAAACTTAGTATATCTTAATATATCTCTCAACCAGGGATCTGATGCGAAAAGGAATCTAGTGGCCACTCCTTGTGGTACCCTTCCCAAAAGAGTTCATAATTTTGATTAGTCGCATAAAAAAAATAAATGTTCGATTTCCTTTAAATTGCGCATACCAATATTTATAACAGTATTAGATGAAGTGAATTACTTCGATCCGCCTTACATGGTACGACACGCATATTTCAACATTTTTGAATAATTATCACATATTTTATAATATGTGAAGAAAGTAGTCGATATTGCCCAATTCTGGTACGTTGTAACATTTATATCAGACCTCCCCACAAAGGGTAAGAAGGTTACAATAATCATAACACAAGTCAGAGTATACATCTATCGGCAATTGCGACTGATACCTTTTAAGTTTTTTTTTTCTTTTTTTTTTTGATATTTAGACATTGAATATAATTTTATTTTATTACGACATTGAATTGTTGTCTATTTTATTTTCATATTTCCCATTTGTCTTTTAGCAAGAAACAGTGGATATTCCTAGAGCCGAAAATACATATTTCCAGAATATCCTAAAAATGCTACCCATACCAACGGGAGTCTATGGCTTATTCATACAGGAGGGAACGGAGGCGCACAAAAGGGTTCACGTAGAAATTCATATACAGGTTTCATAATTTTTGCTGTAATAAAATAAAATTCACATTTTAAAAAATGTATACAAGTGTCTCTCACACCAAGTACGGCTTTAACCCTAAAATGTGTTTTTATTATATAAGAATTCCTGAAATTTATGTAAGATTTAGAAACTTTTTGCAAAGCTTTGGAAATTTTAAGAATTTTTAACAAAAGCAATGGTTGTGACATATTACAGTTTGAATCGCACTGATGGCATCAATTACTTCGGAGACAATCACCTTCAACACAGATATAAAACAGTTAGAGAACATTAATTGAAATATTTGAAGTGTAGATGACGTTGTTAAATCATTGATAAGTTTTGATAAACACAACATTTAAAGGCTCAAATTATGCAGCTAAAGGCTAATGTAAACGATTGTTTCTCGTTCATTTGTTCAATGGTGCATAACTAAAAAAAAATGTGTTTTTCATCACCAACAACACTGCGTGTTCGGGGTATTATAAGTTTGATTGGGCCAAAAATTATGTAACTCCTCGAAACTATATATGGAGCTTCTTATCTTGCAGAGCTGATTCGATCTAGCTATGTAAAGGGTGATTTTTTGAGGTTAGGATTTTCATGCATTAGTATTTGACAGATCACGTGGGATTTCAGACATGGTGTCAAAGAGAAAGATGCTCAGTATGCTTTGACATTTCATCATGAATAGACTTACTAACGAGCAACGCTTGCAAATCATTGAATTTTATTACCAAAATCAGTGTTCGGTTCGAAATGTGTTTCGCGCTTTACGTCCGATTTATGGTCTACATAATCGACCAAGTGAGCAAACAATTAATGCGATTGTGACCAAGTTTCGCACTCAGTTTACTTTATTGGACATTAAACCAACCACACGAATGCGTACAGAAGAGAATATTGCGTCTGTTTCTGAGAGTGTTGCTGAAGACCGTGAAATGTCGATTCGTCGCCGTTCGTAGCAATTGGGTTTGTGTTATTCGACCACATGGAAGATTTTACGCAAAGATCTTGGTGTAAAACCGTATAAAATACAGCTCGTGCAAGAACTGAAGCCGAACGATCTGCTACAACGTCGAATTTTCAGTGAATGGGCCCTAGAAAAGTTGGCAGAAAATCCGCTTTTTTATCGACAAATTTTATTCAGCGATGAGGCTCATTTCTGGTTGAATGGCTACGTAAATAAGCAAAATTGCCGCATTTGGAGTGAAGAGCAACCAGAAGCCGTTCAAGAACTGCCCATGCATCCCGAAAAATGCACTGTTTGGTGTGGTTTGTACGCTGGTGGAATCATTGGACCGTATTTTTTCAAAGATGCTGTTGGACGCAACGTTACGGTGAATGGCGATCGCTATCGTTCGATGCTAACAAACTTTTTGTTGCCAAAAATGGAAGAACTGAACTTGGTTGACATGTGGTTTCAACAAGATGGCGCTACATGCCACACAGCTCGCGATTCTATGGCCATTTTGAGGGAAAACTTCGGAGAACAATTCATCTCAAGAAATGGACCGATAAGTTGGCCACCAAGCTCATGCGATTTGACGCCTTTAGACTATTTTTTGTGGGGCTACGTCAAGTCTAAAGTCTACAGAAATAAGCCAGCAACTATTCCAGCTTTGGAAGACAACATTTCCGAAGAAATTCGGGCTATTCCGGCAGAAATGCTCGAAAAAGTTGCCCAAAATTGGACTTTCCGAATGGACCACCTAAGACGCAGCCGCGGTCAAAATTTAAATGAAATCATCTTCAAAAAGTAAATGTCATGGACCAATCTAACGTTTCAAATAAAGAACCGATGAGATTTTGCAAATTTTATGCGTTTTTTTTTTTTAAAAGTTATCAAGCTCTTAACAAATCACTCTTTATGTCCGTCCGTCTGTCCATGTTAGTCTGTAATGACCGAAATTAAAAATGGAGGTGGTGTCAGAATAGAAGAGTATTGTTTTTGAAGATGATCGCAAAATATTTAGGGGTTGAAATGGACAAAAAACAGAAAAATTTCCTGATTTTGCTGTTGCTCTACAGGCCACAATTATAAACTAATCGACGAGGAATTTTGCACAGACTTAGAGTTTAGGGCTGGACAGAAGCCTACCAATCTGGATGGTCATTGGACAATATTTAGCGGGTAAAATAGACCCCAATTTTATGTAAGAAAATACGAAAATTTTCAATTGACCGCGACACCACCCAAGAATGGTTACAAAACGAGGTTTCTCGTTTCATGGCCACCAAAATCTCTGGATACCAATCCGTTGGACTATTGTGTCTGGAGTATTTTGAAAAGCAAGATTGGCTCTAAAAAATACCAAAATGTCGCTTCACCGGGAATGGGCCAAAATGCCGCAGAGCAACATTCGGGCAGCGTGCGACGGTTTCATTGGCCGTTTGAAGGTCTTCCAAAATTTGATGCTATTTCCGACATTTTTTGCTTTCATTCAATAAAATTTAAAAAAAAAAAATTAAAAATTATAGCGATTGACTTTGTTGCAATTTTTTTATCTCACCCTGTATAATTGTACGAAAAATACATAATGGTACTAACATTGGTATTGGGTGGAGGGATATGGCTGAAATCCTCAAATTTGATAGTGAGATATGGAGGGGGTTTTAGAAATGTGTACTTTAATTGAAGGAAAAGTACTAAATTGTACTATATTTTTGGTATTGGTTGAAGGAATAGAGCTGAAATCCTGACATTTCATACATACCAGTGTTGGTGACTGTGGTTTTGGATATGTGTGCAGTAATTGTACGAAAAGTACTTAATTATACTAAATTTGGTGAGATCATAGGACTGGAATCCTCAAATTTGATATTGAGCTATCTGTTGGCATCTGGAGATATGATATGGCGATGATTTTGGAAAAGTCATGTCAAAATGTGCCGTTGGCTGTAGAGATGAATTTCGGAAATATGGTAACGAGATCACTGTCAGAGGGTAGGGCGTAGAGAAGAAGATTGCTACGTATCCGTACTGTGATTGTTCAAAAAGTACAAAATGTACTAAAATGTACCAAAAATTGGATGTGCAATGGTTCTACTAACATGATTCTCGGTAAATTTCAAAGGAAAGAGTTTGAAGACTTTTTGGTGTAAATGGTAAATATTTTCTTATTATTCTTCTGAAGAAGAAAAACTTGGATAGTTAAAAAACCTTATATACGATATATGAAGTTTTCAATAAAAAATATTTCAAAGAGAACAAATTGTGAATTTTGAGTACTAAAAGGACCTAACATGAACTCTTGGCACAAATCTAAAATTTTTAGGAGGACTTTTCAAATTTATAAAGCAATTATAAAGGGAGTTTTTGTAACAGCTTGCTGATTTGAAATTTAAATAAAACACAAGCCAAATTATGAAATGGGGAAAAAAATATTTGGTAGATATTTTCATATCATTTAGTAGAATCGCCTGGAGCACAATCATTTATTTGTTTAAATGTTATAAAAATTAAATCAACGTTCCACATTGTTTGTATTAAACTTAGATCAGTACCTTCCCTACAGAGGATAATAATTACGAATAACCACTAATCGATTTCTTTTCAACTTCGGACTTGGTAATAATTAAAACAAAAATAAAATACCAAGTGATTTGTAAAGTACCCAAGTCAGAGTGTATAAAAACCGACAGGTACAATCTAACTGATTACTTTAATGTATGGGTCAACTCAAATCTGCCCAAATGGGAAAATCAACCCCTCCCCTTGCTATCAAGACTAAATTTGCTTCCGCAGTTTGCCAATGGAGCGATCCTGCCAGTAAATCAAGCAAGCCTACACCAGATTTTTATTATTTGAATTTCAAATAATGACAGTCATTCTCACATTACCATCAGCACTTCATTATAATGAATTTTTCGCTATTTGCGTCTGCAATTTGGTCGTATTTTCAAATTAAAATTATTAAAAAATTCAAATGTTGACAATTAGCAAAATTAAACAGTTACTTGGAGATTACTCAAATTATATGGAGCAATCACATTTTCCAGCCATTAACATTTGAGTTTATATACTATATTTCTAATCCATATTATTTTGAATTCCTTCTAGTATAGGCATTTTTGCAAATAATGCCTGGTAAATGTTTTAAAGTTTACTTAGTATTTATAATTATTGCAATTAAGTGTAATGAATACAGAGGTATGAATGTGAAAAATATTCAATGATAATTATCCTAACTCCAGTCTACGGGTATTATTTTATTTATTAAAGCCATGATCCAAAGTTTGCTCGAATCGATTTTTGCAAAATTGTGGCAGTATCGAGAAATGTTTAATATTTAATAGCTAAGGATACGATACTGCAATCGCCATTAACAAAATTCAGAGTAAATTTCAAATTAGCATTCCCAGCTGTGCATTTTCTAAAATTTAAATTGTCAAATTTCAATGGAAAAAAAGAAAACAAAAAAAAAAAAGTTCCCACCTCTGATTTTGTGTGTATACAATAATAATAACGGTACCCCCGATATTAGGTATTTTGATGATTTTATCCACATTTTTCAATGGCATTGTCTGAAATCCACACAAGGAGTTCCTTGTGAGTACTACATCACCTGAAAAAGAATTATCTATATTGGGCCACGATATCGTATAGCCCCCATATAAAGGTTCACCCCCATATTCGGTATTTTTATGATTTTGCTATGTTATTTGCAGGAATAGTTTTAAATATCGTATATAAAGTTCGGAACAGTTAGTACAGTCTATGACACAAATTACTTATGCAGGACAACGTCTTCGTATAGCCCGAATTTACAATTACCTTGCAGCAAGGTGCTGTAGGGTATAAAAATTCTTATGGTGGAGTCAAGTTTCAATCGATTTTTATTTGGATTTATTATGAAACGTCTGATGCAGATCCTAGTTCGTATTTCAATTCACAGATTTCCGTTCGTATTTAAAACTCTTTTTGTATTTGATATTTTTGTTGTTGTACTTTATAGTACATTTCGTACCCTAAAACTAGTAAGGAAAAGTCAAAAGTCGGGACGGGCCGTAACAAAA